TGGGTGCGTGAGCTTCTCTTCTTCTCCGTCAACATAACCAAAGTGTACAATGCTCATCTCGTATTCACATGAATTTACAACAAAGCAGCAGCCACGGCTCCGGCCAACAGGGCCACCATGGCAGGGACACGGAAACCGGCAGCTCCGGCCGGAACAGGAGGCAGGCCAGATTGGGCAGGCTGAGAGGGGACACCGGTGCTGCCGGGGGCGACAACGGTCGTCAGTCCACCGCTAGGGAAGGGAACGGGAGCCGGCGTGACGGCCGGGGGGCTGGCAGCCGGAGAAGAGACAGCATGCTCAGGCGGAGGAGGAGGCGGGGAGTAGGCGGACGGGGCCGGGCTGGTGGCGACAGGGGCAGTGGGCGATGGCACCACGCTGGGCGAGGCGGGAGACGAAGCGACAGCGACAGACGAGGTGGGGGCGGCGACACCAGGGATGACAACGGGAGCCGTCTGGGTGACAATGGGAGTGACAACAATGACGTTAGGCGCCGTCTGGGGGTTGCTGCAGGTGTTCTTGCCCTGTCTGCAGGTGTACGTGTTGGGCAGCGTGAACGTCGCAGTGATCTCGGGAGCCGCGGGCTTGGGAGGAGCCGTGGGATGCGGGCCGTTCTCAACGGGGCACCAGGTCGTATACGCGACGACAACCTCAGTCGTGACGTGGCCAACGGGGCAGTTGGTGACCGAAGGCGGGCACGAGGTGACCGTGTACACGTTGTGTGTGGTGAAGGTCGAGGTGTACGTCGAGGGGACCGTGGTGGCGGCGCCAGAGCCAGTGGCCGCGGAGGTGGTGCCGGGAGCAGCAGCGCCGGTGCTGGATTCGGAGAGGGCGGTGCTGGAGCCGGCGGCGGCGGCGGCGGAGCTGAGGCTCGGGATGGGGTAGGGGGCAGTACCGTTGCTGAATCGGTGCGAGGTCGTGGGCAGAAGTCCGGAGGTGGCGGGTGCAGTGGTCAGCGGCACGCTGGTGGTCTCGGCGGTAGCAGATGTCGTGGCAGCCTCGGAGGAGGTGGTGGCCAGCTCAGACGTCGAGGCGGCAGCAGACGTGGCCGTGGTGCCGGCAGCAGACGTGGTCGCGTCGGTCTTGACGGAGGGAGAGCACTTGCCAATGGCAGAAGCGGGGACGGCGTCCGGGCCGGAGCCGATGGGGATCAGCTCGGTGCCGCAGTCCTCGTTGGCCGCAATGTGGATGTCCTGGTTGTCCCAGTCAAAGACGACGTAGGCAGCACGCAGGAACGTGTCGCCCAGCACGGGGAAGTTGTCGTCCTGGGAGACACCGAGCTTGCAGATGCCCAGGTCGGGCTGTTGCCAGATAAAGTCCTTGTACTCAACATCGACCACGACGCTGCCAAACTTGAAGTTGACGCG